AGAAAGAAAGAAAGAAAGAAAGAAAGAAAGAAAGAAAGAAAGAAAGACTTTCGGAGAAAATAATATCTGATATGGAGAAGGAGAAGATATAAGCGAAGGATCTACTTTTCTGGTTGGTATTAGGGTTGCATGGCATGAGGGGGAGGATTGCGGCTGAAGTGATTGGGATAGAGGGCTGCATTTTGTATCCTAGTTGGTAGCGAGTGCATTTTTAACTTAGGGAAAAGGAAACATGGAGAGTGACTTCAAGAATATTTAAGGAGCTTTGATGACTATGAAATGTGAATTTAGGGTGAAGGCGCTTAGGGATCAATTCCTGAAACTCCTTGGGTTCATGCTGGCAAAGGGTGCTATGAATTGACCCTCCTTTGAAGTCAACATAGTTCTAGTCCGAAGAGGACAGCCATAAGCATTGTGCCGATTTTTGCAAACCCCCCTCTGAAAATGGAAAAGGGCATAAACATTGTATGTTAGAGTGACATTATGTACCAAGATCTTGAGATGCAATGTTCTGGCAGGTGCTTTGTCTATATGTTGATGAGAGAGACTCCCTTTGGAATCCCCTTTCCTCATAGGATTGCGAAAAGTGAGCCCTCTTTGTAAACCATCCTCTCCGATCTACTTACTTTTATTGCATTTTGCAAACAGGAACCTTAGCCACGTTTGCGATGAGGTTGGGTTTTTTTTTAGGCTCATTAACTTTTCTTTGAAATGCAGAAGTTGCTTGACTCAATCTCTCTTTCCAAACTTCTGAAAAGTTAAGACACTTTTATTAGAGCAATAGAAAATGCTTCCTCTCCACCACCCAATTAAGTGCAGAAGGTTAGGGGGCGGGGAGGAATTGCGAATGGGGGGGGGGAGATGGGGATGTTGTTTCTTTTGATTTCGGGATTTGTGCGCTTTGGAAAAGCAAAGTGTGAATATTTCTACTAAACGCTAGGGGTGCTGGTGATACTGGCATAACCCCCTCCCCCCAATTGTCTATTTGTGTAAGGAATTTTAAAAACTGGTACCGACATTTCTTTTTTGTTTATTTGTTTTAAAAGACAGAATTATCCTCATTTTTCGTTTCTGGAAAGACTGTATCTTAAAGGAAGCCCGGCTAGGATATACATATAACACCCCCCTCCCAAAAACAGGCAAGGGAAAAATGGAAAAGATCCAGACCAGAAGAAAAACAAGAGCTGGTGTCTGAAAATGTAACTAGTGTGCATCCATATTTGGTAAACTTTCTTGAAGAGAGCAGGAATTTCTTTTCAACTTTGATCACAAGAATTGAAAAAAGCTTACTTCGAAGTAAGCCTCACTCATTGATCTCTATTCCTCACTCATTGATCTCTATTCCTCATCAAGTTAGCTTTGATATTTTTTAACTGAAGATTTGTAGCTTAGTTCTGAATTCCCTTTAATGTTCTTCTACCAATGAGATTTGTATGCTTGTTCCTATAAAGACAAAATTATATGTTGACTTCCATTTTTGGATGAAGATAGTCCATTTGGACATAGTTAAAAGAAAGTTCTGCTGAAATTGAATTTAAAATATTTAAAATACTCTTATTTATATTGAATAATTAAAATATTCAATTTTATTATTGGAAATGTGATTATTGGAAAAAAGGAACAAGAACAATTTCTTAGATTAGTTTTTTTGCTAGAAGGGTGAGAGATATTGTTTGGTAGGAAGTTGGGAAGGAGGGAAAACCAGAAAATAATGGTGATAAGTTTAGTCATTTTTCCTTTCAAATGTTTTGTTTTATCTGAAATTAATATTTATTCCTGAAGTAAATAGTTTTGCTTTCCAAAATGCAACAACAATCCTTTCACTGCTTAGATGAGAACAAATCTGTATTAGTCAGTGAAAATTACTCCTAAACGCATATGAGTAGGATTGAATATTGTGCTTACATGTTCTGCTGACAAAGAATATATCCAGAGAAGGCCAGCACAAATATTACATATACTACATATCAGTATATATGTCATAATTCATCTATATATACTGATAAATTTATCCAGAGGAGCACACTTCAGGCTCCAGTAGTTTAATCCTAACCTCAGAAGAAAATGAATAAATTGTTCTTCTGATAAATAACTCTAGGTATCAGAAAAGCTTCTTCCTTTCTGCAGTAACAGTGAAATCCTATGACCTACTTAGGAGTAGAGAATGCCGAATTCAGTAAGGCATCCTAAATACTGGAGTTATTTTACTTCTTTTGAATGTCTGCATACAGCTTTACCCAGCATACATATTTTATTGTTTTATATCCCCATTTTGGTAGGGGGACTGCAATTACATTTCTTTGATCTTTTCTCTTCATTTTTTTCTGGGATTTAAAGGAAATGCAAAGAAAAAAGAACCACACCCTACTTCCTGTCCACCTCTAAATTTGTTTCCAGATTTCCCTGCCTTTTCTTCTTTACTTCTTGTTTTATGCAAGTTAGTTATCCAGATGCCTAAAAATCTTTTCAATGTTTCAAGGTTATTCTTTACTATCATGAAGTCATGCAAAGGAGTGATTTTCATTCTAGTGAAAGGATAAATCTTGTTGAATTAGATTCAGAATGAATTTCTTTCTACTTAATGTTCCTCTTTAATCCTCTTTTACCCCTGAATTTCAGATTATGTTTTAAAATCTGCATGCCCTTTTGTAATAGATGAAACTGTAATGGATTCTACTACAGATTCTGGCTAATTTGCACTATTTTATAAATGCCCACAATTCCATAGTTTCTTTTGAAACTGGACCATTGATTTTCCCAATGCCAATTACTTTTGGCTGAAAAACTAACATTTTTTCCCTTTTTGGCAAAGAAGGTCTCTCTGTCTTCTGTATGTACCCTGTAGATCCGAATTTGTGTAAAAGAAGCTGTCTCACAAATTCGCATCTAGGGGAATATGTAGTTGACACAAACCCTACGGAGCGAGTGGAGCCCAGCCTTAAAGAAAGAAGAAGGAGAGAAAGAAAGGAGAATAAATCGTTAAAGACACTTGTTTCTTAAGAAGATTTTTCCTTTTTGTGTGTGTGTGGCCATTGGTGCACCTCCTCCTTGGTGCTGCGCAGGTGTTTTTTTTTTAATTATCGTCTAAACATTTTCCCCTATTGCATTGAAATCACAGTAGAAGGAACAGATCCCTGGCCCGTGGAGTTTACAAAAGGAAGACGGGGCAGTTCGTATAATGAAAAGGAATACCCAGGATATGTGTTAGGGGTGTTTGTCCGTGCACACACACTAATATGCGTATGAGCGTGCATTTGCGTTGTATAGAAATCCTGTAACCTCTTTTTATACTTTTTTAAAAAGCGGATTTCTTCAGTTAATACGCTTCACAATCTGATGAAATTAGTCCCAATTCTGTCTTCTGTTTAATGTTTATACGATTTTTATCTTCTAAATATGGGAAAGAGAACCAGTTTAAACCAGAAGCTAGCTGTCATTTAAAGGATGGGTAACTTGAATTGGTTAATGATGTTTCTATCGATCCCAAATAACCTCTATCTATCTTTGCCACTGGTTTGACTCGCTCACAAAATTTAAGTAGAGGCAAGAAAATGAATACCCCATAGACCCCGTTCCTTTCACTCCAGTTTCATATTTGTTCTCAACAAACTTCTTTGATTTAAAAATTGATTTTAAATATTCGCTACGAAAAGAGACATTGGATGTATTGTGTTTTGACAAAATATCCGCGGACAGGTCGGGCAGGAATGGGAGTTTAGGATTTTGTGTCTTACTGATTTTGGGGTCTGTGGAATATGAAATACCCGATTTTGGTGTCTGTGTGTGAAATTAAAATATTACTATCATTTTTAAAATATCAAAAAGGAATGCAGAGTACCGATTATTCGTACCGCAATGCAGAATCCTAATTATATTCCGAATATATTTTACAGATAAAAATAAATCCAATCGACTTAGAAGCAACTTGCTTTCAACTTGAATGCGAGGTGGTAACAGAAAGGCTAAACGTGCGCCCCCACCCCTTTCCTCCTTCTTGATTATTTCCTTATCCGGGAATCCCAGGCTACCCCACCATTGGTTCATGGGGTCACATGGACAGCTAACTTTGTTCAGTTGACGGCAAAAGTAGGAGGGCTCTGCGAAACAGGAAAACGAGAAGGGGAGGGGAAGGAAGGGCGAAGGGGGAAGGGGAGGGGGGGTGAAGAAATAGGAATAAATTTTAGTATATTTTTGGGGTGTGCGTGTGTGTGAGTGAGCGAGAGTGTGCGTGCCGGCGCGCGCGCGCTCTTGCAATTCCAAAATTAATGGCCATGAGTTCTTTTTTGATCAACTCCAACTATGTGGACCCCAAATTCCCACCATGCGAAGAATATTCCCAGCACGATTACCTTCCTAGTCATACTCCGGAATATTTCAGCGGCCAGAGGCGACAGGAGAACTCTTTCCAACACGAGGCGTTGTACCCAGCGCGGTCCGCCTGTAACCAACCATCCTATCCTCCATGTCAGGGCTCTGGGCACCAGCCACCGGTCCTCTCCCCCAGGAGCCAGCATGCTCCGGCTGGACTTCAGAACCATCTCTCCGAACCAAATCATACTTGCGAATCCATCACGCCAAGCCCACCGCCTTCCTGTAGCCAAAACTCTCTCAACCAAAGCCCTGGCAAAGAGCCGGTAGTTTATCCTTGGATGAAGAAGGTTCATGTTAGCACGGGTAAGTGAACCTTAAAGAGCTGTTCGCTTTATACTAACCTGCACCTCAAAGTCTCGTTGGGAAGAGAGGGAAAAAAGGCTTATTGCCCCCGCTGTAAAAGAACCATTCCCCTTGGAGATTTATGGTCTCCCTGTTTGCAGAGCGCTATAATTACATCCTCCATAAATTTTTATTGCTCTTCTTGGCCAACTGCCTTTGAAGTCCCTGTTAACATCCTTCTCCAGAATTTCTTTCTTCCTTTCCTTTCCTTTCCTTTCCTTTCCTTTCCTTTCCTTTCCTTTCCTTTCCTTTCCTTTCCTTTCCTTTCCTTTCCTTTCCT